GTCCAGAAAACCCTGTTTTGCTCAGGCCCTCCCTAGCCTTTGGCTCTTACAATTTTTCCACTGTCTCTTCTGAGATGGTCCCTGAGCTTGGAGGGAGGGGTGTGATATAGATGCCCCACTTGTGGCTGAGCATTCCACAGACACTCTGCACCTACCAGTTGTGAGTTTCTGTATTAACTGCAGTCCTCTGCACAAAGAAGCTTCTCTGATGAGAACTGAAAGCTGCACTCACCAACCCATGGGTGTAGAGATATAGATTTACTGGGCAGTTTGATACTTATGTACATTAAGCAAAATAATATAAGTATGGTTACTCCTGCTGGCCTTCAAATCAGGATCCTCCAGCCTCAGTCTTCCAAATGCTGGGACTACAGACATGCACCATCATGGCTAACTAGTAGTTCATTTATTTTAATTGCCAACTAAAGAATACAAATTCACTGCTCAATGCTAAAGAAAAGTTTAAAGTATCACAATCATACCATTCTGCAACAAACACTTTTATCTTCTGGTATTTATGTCTACATTTTCCTATGTTTCTTTCATTAATTCACATTGCACCTAATGTTTCTCATTTTCTCCTAAGTAATGTATTATGAGAATCTTTTCATTATCAATAATAGTCTTTTACAAACCATCATCTTAAACAATCTCCTCTAGCTAATATTTTGTTCTTACTCCTTTTAATGATGAGTCAGTTTCCTCTCCCCCAAAACTGTTGTGGTGACTTGTTCCAACCTGTGTGTTTCCTTCCATCCTTACCAACAATGAACATTATTATTTTTAAAGACCAGAGATTTCTTTTATTTCTTTAAGGATTATTACAGAGCTGGGGATACAATAGACAATAAAATATTTTTGATGAATGGATTGATAAATTAACTATTCACTCGTTCAACATATTAGTCTCATATCTGACAGCCCTTGACCTGCATTTAAAAATAAATCAAAACTCTATCAATTACTGAAGCATAAATTAGGATGCTGATTAATTTCAAAGATAATGTGTACAGATGCTTCTCTTGAAACAAAAGTTGTCCCAAAGTCCTGAAAAATCTCTTGGGAACAATATGTCTCATTTTTCTAAAATTAGAAAGTACTAAATGTCTCTGAGGATGAGGACTGTGAATTTAGGATAAGAAAACCCTCCTATTCTTTTGCTGCTAGAGTGTTCCGAATCAGGGAATGTGTTCGAGAAGGCAAATCTAGCATGGATGTTTATAGTGCCAGAAATTTTCTTTAATGTGAAGTGTGTGTGAAGGGGATCAACACTAAAATTTCTGAGAGGAGTTTTAATGTTACTATCCATTTCTGAAAGCATATTTTATGGAAAACTGCCTGAGTTAAGATGGCTAGATGAATGTCCTATTTAGTTAGGTGACTTTTTCCTGTTAAGTGTCCTGCTCAGTAATTAGAAACATCACACAAAGGCAATAATCGGTCCCACTTTCCTAATGTATACATCTTTTCACCTTATATAAAGTAATAATCATTAAAAATTAACATAGCCGGAAAATTTACTGATTTAGGACCTCATTTAAAAATGTTATATTCCATAATTCCATTCTGATACTTTTCTTCCCATAATTGCTAGAAGCTACTGGAACAAGTTTACAGTTCATAAAGCAATATGTAGTGGAAAGAGAAAATGACTAGGGTCAAAATAGCGATTCTAGTCCAGTATGTGCCTGCAGCAGTTATTTCACTTCGGATGAGTCATTTCATGTAACAGTTTTCTAACTGTAAAATAAAAATCTGGGTATGGTCAGCATTTCCCAAAGTTTTTTTCTGTGAACATATGTTTAATGAGCTGTTCCACTGAAAAACAAGTTTCATAGTTGGACACATTTGGGGAAGTGCTGAATCTAATACCTGTATCAGAACTTCACAGTGTACATTATTAAAACCACTGAAAAGTTCTCTAGTTGAGAAATCCGGTGAATTTTATTTATCATTTTTTATTCATCTGGTTAGAGGAACTCTAATTTATTTGGGAAACCACACTTCTAAAATCCTGAGTCCTGAAGAACGCACTTTGGAAAATGATGAACTAAGAATTCTTCAAGGTGCCTGGATTTATGAATTTATTACACTATTTCATATGTGTGTGTATGTGAGAGACAGACAGACAGAGACAGAGACAGATATCAAGCACCTTCCTCTGTCACTAATTTTTTGAGACAGGGTCTGAACCTGGACCTCATCCATTCCTCAAGACTAGCTGGCGAGCAAGTCCCAAGGATCCTCCTGTCTCCACTTCCCTGATGCAGGGATTATAGGCATTTGCTGTCTGGTCCAGCTTTTTACATGGGTGCAGGACTGAACTATTTCCCCAACCCTTATGGTATTCCCATATAGGTATTCAGCCAGTTCCAAGAAACTTTTGCTCCTTTTTCTTCAGAGAGGATCGCCATCATCTAGCCAGTCTCCCCAAACAGAAACTTGATCGCCATTCTGAAGGTTTCTGTCTCATCAGTTCTTCAGAGTCAATTTTACATGAATGTCGGTAGATTCCACCTTCTTAATGATATATTAAGCCTAAGCCTTGTCCCCACTGCACACCCTCTGCCTCTGTGGAGTCCTGTAGCCCATCTCATCTGGATTATCTTCACCCCTCTTCCCCGCGCCCATTCTCCAGTCATTTTTCTCTGATCTCCAAACACAAACTCAATTGTTCCAGAAACCAAAATACTACAAAGAGTTTATTTATTATATTCAAACTCCTTGGTCTGGCACAAGAGCTCTTGATTGATGAGGTCGTTTCTATCCTTCTCCCACCTGCTTCTGTCTTGAAGCAATGGGATTACTTGGAAGGCTTCTTAGGCGGGGTGCTATTGGTGTTCCCCCACCCGCACAGATGTTGTTGCCAGTGTCTGGAGTGACTGTTCCCTCCTTCTATGGGTAGCTCCTCCGTGACATTAAATATGCAGTTATCTCCCCACTGGGTAAGCTTTCCTGATTTGAAATTGCCTGTTTTCTAATAGTGGCTTTCCTGTCTCTTTTGTTCACCAGACTCTATGCTTTTTGAGGGCAGGGAGCATCATATCTTTCTTGTCATTGTATTCTTATACCTTGACTGGAGCTAAATAAACAGTAAATGAATGATTTAATGACTTAATAAAACTGATGCCACCCTGGCTGACTTCTTTTCCTTTTTTTTCTTTTGTTTTTTGACACAAGGTTTCACCATGTAGCCCTGGCTGGCCTTTTATACCCTATGTACACCAGGCTGGCCTCCAATTCACAGACATACATTTAGCTTACCTCTGCCTCTGAGTGCAGCGATTAAAGGCAAGGCCAAAACAGCTGGCCTGTTTACTTTTCTTAGTGGTGGAAAGTGACTGTTTTCTAAGATTAGCCTTAAACAACCTAAGCATCTGAAGAAGAGCTGGGCTGAGAGCTATCTAAAGAGCACTCAGGATCCTATTCTCTGAAGGTTTCCATGAAAGTGCAACACTTCCTTGTAGGGTTATCGCACAGCCTAGTAATAACATTTGATAACAATAGGTTATTTATTAGGTTTGGGTACCTAAGTGTATTTAATCTCAATAAACCTAGTCACAAGGGACATGAAGAGGCTATGACACATTTGTATGAAATTACTGATGAAAAAATTTAAAGCATTTATTAATTTATAAATATCTACTGTACAAAGCATCACACAAGATTTTGCAGGAGGTATAAGAGAATAAATTGTATGATGTTCATTAAGGAAAGAATATAACTTACTGAAATAATTACAGGTAATGTATGAATTCAAAATGAGAGGCTGCAAGAATTGGTTGCCACCACCATTTTTGTTTTACGAGATAGTATTGTTTTATTTTAAATTATTAAAGTACCTACTAAACTCAGAATACAAAAATGCACATATTTCCAAAGTACAGGTAACTCAAGTGTGAAACATGGCCAATAACTATTATATAGTTCTAAATATCAGTTTAAAACAGATTGCACACCAGTTTGGGACAGACTGTGCAAAAAGACCAAAACCACTTGAAAGTCCTCAAGAATATTCGAAAGTAAGAATGCAATTAACCAAAACAGGATTTGGTCCTAGAATAGACACTGATTCTTAGAAAAGGAGCTGGGGTTTCAGGAAAGTACGATTTTGGGGGGCTGAAAATTCAATACACAGGAACTATTAAAAAGCAGATGAGAAGACGTGAAAAAAGAATGTAGAACGTTCATTGCAACCAATTCCAAATAGTTCTCCTACTTCCCAACTGTTTTAGTGTTGCCAACAAAGATGCTTTGTATATAGCCAGGCAAAAGTAATTGAATTCTAATCCTTTGATCAACTTTACATGAAGGTCAAAATAAGGACATAAATTGAAAGAAATCGTAGTCTGCTTAACTTCAAACTGCATTAAAATAAGTATCTGAATAAATAAAATAAGCAGTATCTGAATAACTTGCAGCTTGGAAATCAAACTCCGTATTTAAGTAATTTGGAGCTTGGTGGTAAGAAAAAACACCAACACCAGTAAGACAGAAGTCAAGAACACAAGATAAACAGATTATGAAGTTCAGTGAAGGTAATTAAGGATAACTGAAATGTCTAATTTCTAAAACCTTCCCAATACACCACACGAAAATGCAATTTTTGTCAAAATGGGGTTTCCTCTAGCAGCATCTCACTAATTCCAGCTCCAGTCTGTAGGTGCAGGAGGGAGCCGAAGGCGGATGCGCACACCTGGGGGGCAGGTCTGCTCCTCGCCGATTGGCGCCCGAGAAGGGGGGACAGGAGCCCTGGGCCCGCTTCTCGGGAAGGACTGCGGTGGGTGGGGCCGCGGCGGGATTTTCCTCCCGGCCCATTCATTCTCTGATTCACTCGTTACTGAAGGCTGCTCGCGAGGACGCGCACAGGAAAGGCGGGGTGCGGAGGAGGACCCCGGCTGGGTGCGGCCCACAGCCTGAGGGGCGGCCGAAGGGGGTGTGGTGGGCCGGGCCGCGAGGGGGGTTTTTTCGCCGTCTGCGCCGGAAGTGAGCGGTGGCCGCGGCTGGGAGCGAGCGTCTGGGAGCGAGTCGGTCCGCCCTTGGGCCGCCCGGCCCTCAACCCCGCCCCCTGTGCCGGGCGGGACCCGGTCGCTCAGTGATCCGCCGCCGTGGGGCGCTGCGCTGCGTCCACCCCTCCCCGCCCGCCGGCTTGGTCGGTCAGTCAGTCAGTCAGCCACCGAGCGCGCGGCGCGGGAGCTGCGGGGACTCGCAGCGTCTCCCGGGAAGAAGCGCCGCGCCTGGAAAGGAGGCACAGGCGGCTGGGGAGCAGCGGGAGCAGCGGTGCGGTGTCCCGAGCCGCCACGCTGATCGGGGCCGCTGGAGGGCGGAGCAGCTGTAGCGGTGAGTGCTCCGCCGCCTGGCGCCCGAGGTCTGAGGAAGGAGGGAGCGGGCGCGGGGCCGAGCGGTGCTGCCGCCTCCATTTTCCCGGCGCGGCCCTCGGGCGCCGTGCGGGTGGCCGCAGTCCGGGGCGGGGTCGCTGCCCGGTGGCTCTCCGTGGCTGCACTGCGCCTGCCGGCGGGCGGGGGCTGGCGGGGCTTGGGCTGCACCCCGCGCCCCTAGGGGCCGCACCCGGGAGACAATGAGACCTGGCGCCGCCAGGGAGGTGCGGCAGGGCTTCTCCCCGGCCCTGCGGGTGGCTGGGGACTGTCGCCCGCCGTACCGCAGATAGCGGTGGCTCGACCTCGGATTGTTCGCGCTCCGGTGCCTCCAGCCTTCGTAGCTGAGTTCAGTGCCGAGATTCGGAAAGGCGGGGCCGCCTTCTTATGTCTTCTAATTAAGCCGCCTAAGTAATTGCTCCAGTGCTTTTTCGTCCCATCTCGTTTTTCCGCGAGCATTCCCGCCGGAAATCCAAACTGTAGTTCAGTGAAGAAGGGCAGAGAGGGAGGAGGCTACCTTAACAGTATTGGTTAGTGTGCCATCGTTGGAGACGGCCTGAGAGATCCCCTTTTCTGCTTCAGACATTGTCGTAAGGATCGCCCCGCTGTGCCAGCTGGAAGCTGCTGGAGCCTTAGAGCTTGTAGGCAACCAAGACGTGCTTGAGTGGGACATTAAGAGCTTTGGGAAATGGTCTGAGAGTTGCCGCTGCCCTGTGCATGGCTTTGCCTCCGTTCTGTGCGAGAGCAGTTTGGGGTTGACGTTGCCTGCTGCATTTCTCATGGAGATGTGGATAGCCGCCCAAGTCGACGGTCAAGTCCGCGGTGAAGGGACAGTGAAGGTGGCAGGCTAGGGGTGAGGCGCGATCGGACTGTTAAGGGGTGGCATTGTGTCCGTGAGAATATTGAAGTCAGGAAACAGTTGTGAAGACCTACTGAAGCAAGAGGGTTGCAGTGAGTTGCAGAATACCGTGTCTCAGAACAGGTGTAGGAGACACAAATGAACACTATCACACACGCGCGCGCGCACACACACACACACACACACACACAAAACCGTGGAGTGATGGGAAAAGCGCTTTGGAGGAAACCAACATTCCGTTTTATACACTGGAATTGGCTGGCAGCCAATTGTGATAGCGGATAAGCCCTTAACTCTGCAGTAGTTCCCTACCGGTAAACAGGGAGACACCACCTTCCCAGATGGTTGTCAAGCAGGTTGAATGAGATAATGTATTCCAAATGGGTAGCTGTTTGCCTGGCTTGAGGCTTTCCAACACTGGTTAATTCTTCCTTTTCCTACTCCTTGGAGGCGGGGCGGTCTTGAGAGAGTGGGTCAGAAGTGAAGTGGTAGCGGGGCTTTGTAGAGGCTTAGAACAAGGCAGGGTAGAAGAGGTTAATTCTACCTGGGGTCAGTGGGGGAAAATTCATGGAGGCTGCCGGATTTGAGTAGAACCTTAAGGATGGGGCACGATTTTCTTTCCTTTTTTTTTTTAAAAAAGTGTTTTATTAACATATTAATTACACAGTGGGTTTCATTATGACATTTTCATACATGTACGTAATGTATTTCAGTTCCAGCAGGACAGGTAGGAGTTCAATAGATTAGGAGAGGAAAACATTCCACATGAAGTGATAACACCTTACAGAGCTGGATTCTAGAGCTAGGCATGATGGATCATGCCTGTAGTCTCAGCGCGCAGGAGACTGAGGCAAGAGGGTTGCAGTGAGTTGCAGAACACCGTGTCTCAAAAAAATCAAAAAAGGCTGCATTCTGGAGGAAGAACTTTGGAAGGTGGCAAAATAGAGACACCCTTAAAAGCCTTTAGCTTTTGTTGAGTCTGACCTCCAACTGTCTCGTTACTTTGCTTTTTGTGAGGGTGAATTAATTTCCCAGACACAGAACCCTGTTTAAGTACAGAAGTGTCTGCAAAGTTTGATACATGATTTTTTTTTTGTACCAGACATTTTGTGGTATTTGGATTGCTATTCGATTCTGTGTTTTGAACTTAATGAATTTTTTGTCAGTGTTTCTCTGTGATGAATGTTAGCTCTATTTGGTAGAAGCACAGAATTTTTCAGACTCAGGTCTCGCTGCCTGAAAGTAGGAGAAGCAGGCACCTTTTAAGTATGTTTTCACCATTATCATTGCTTTGTTTTCTGACTAGATGTTTTTAACCATTATTTTTAAGGATGATTATGATATTTTTTACTTTTGACTTTTTTACTACCTTTTGATTCTCGCCAAATAAATAATTGGCAGATTAGAAACAAGGATAACAGATTCTTGGATACATGTTTTAAAATCTCATAACTGTATGTGCTTTGGTTTGGAAGTAATTGAATGTCAACATCAGTGTTAATCCCAAATTCTGCTTTTTTACGAAAAACAGTATTAATAAAGTAAGACATGTAACCTCAAGCATATGATTTATTTTGAATTTTTAATTCCTCTACCTTTTAACTGACAAGTTTGGATTAGGTCACTGGTTTTCAAATGGTAATGCTTACTGACCTTAATTTTGAGGAGCTGGGTATTGTGGCACAGGCCTGTACTTGAGAGACTGAGGGAGGAAAATACTGAGTTTGAGGCCAGCCTACATAATAAGACCCTGACTTAAAACAAAACAACAAAAAGAACAATTCAATATTGAAGAGCTTTTGAAAGTTCTGAAGGTGTGTGTCCTAAATTTCATCAAAAGTTGTCGGGCGTGGTGGCGCATGCCTTTAATCCCAACACTTGGGAGGCAGAGGCAGGCGGATCTTTGTGAGTTTGAGGCCAGCCTGGTCTACATAATGAGTTCCAGGACAGCTGGGAGACCCTGTCTCAAAAAGACAAAAAGAAGAAAAAAAAAAAAAAAAAAGGTTTGGGGATCTAACATACTGGCATAGTGCTTCCCTAACATTTATCAAGTCCTGGGTTTGATACATAGCACCACAAAAACAAGAGTCTAACCTAAATGTTTTAAGTCAGGAGTGGCAATCCCTTGAAATCCCAGCATTTGAGAAGCTAAGGCAGGAGGATTAAGAAGATACTTTAAATTTAAAATAACAAAAATGACTGCTATATGATAGGTACTATTTTCAGCACTTTATATGTATTGAATTATTAATCCTCACCATAGCTCTCTGATGGGAGGTTCTGTTAATTGTGAAAACAAGCAGAGATACTGCCCAAAGACTACACAGCTAATGGAGCAACAAAGGTTTAAAACCAGGTAGCCTAATTCTTATATTCTTAACCGCCTTCTTAGACTACCACATAGGAAAATAAAACAATACACTCCTTTTTTAAAAATTGTGATAAAGAATATATAACATAAAATTTATCATTTTAAGCATTGCTAAGTAGTTAATTTTTTCAGTGGCATTAAGTGTATTAACACTGTGTAACTGTTACACTGCCAATTTCTAGAGCTTTTTCATAATCTCAAACTGAAATTCTACTAGTTAGAACAATAAATTCCCACTTACCATGGCAGTCCCTAATAACAACTTACTTTCTGTCTATGATTTTGTCTACTCTGGATATTTCTGTAATAGAGTCATACTTTTCGTTGTTGTTATGTTTGGGTTTTCTTTTCTTGTCTTTCCTTTTGTTTTGTTTTCTGACAGTCTTAACATTTGTAGCCCAGGCGGGACTGGAACTCACTGTGTAGCCCAGGTTGACCTAAGCTAATCACTTTAGCATGTTTGTTTACATTTTTGACACCTTGAAAGCCATGGTACCTTCAGGTTATGTATACTTAATTTTGGGAGTAGGTGGTTCCGGTATTCCTTAGACTAAAGTTTCCCTTACTATCAGCATTTGCTTGTGAATTTTAAGTGAGCCATTGATAGGAAACCTGTAGACTGAAGATTTTTTAAAATTCAGTCTTTATATTATCTATTCATATAAAATTGTCTCAACAATGCTTTTACTATGGCTCAGGTACATAGGCAAGACCAAAGCACATATTTTTGTGGCCATACTTATCCTAAGTCATTGTTTTTCATATAATAATGAACATTTAATAATAAATTCTGATAGCATGTCATAGGTGGTTTTTATAGCTCATAGTAAGTTTTTCTTATTTTCTCTGAAAGCCATTACTAAACATTGTTACTGAGTCAATTTTGAAAGAAAAACTATCTTTTTTTTTTTTTTTTAACTTTTGGAGTGGTGTTCTTGAAGAGTATCTTGAGACTGCAGAGTGAATGTTAAAAGTTTCTGACTAGTCAGGCATGGTAGCACAGGCCTGTAATCCCAGCATTCCTGGAAGACAGCAAGTTTGAGGCCAGCCTAGGCTATATAAATAAGACCTAATCTCAAAAACAGCAAAACTAGCAGCTGCCCAAAACACCAGACATCTGCCTCCTTGTAACTGCTTATCTGGGTGAAGTCAAAACACAGTTTTACAAAAATAAGTGTGTTACTTAGGTGGTCATAAGATTGTAACTAATATCCCTAACTCAGATTTTTCTTCTTGAGTTGCTAGTAAATTAATACAAAATATTTGAACATAAAATAGTTTTTAATAATGATTTAGTGAGTTTAGACAATATTTAGGGTACTATATAAGATTTCATCTGGAAAAGCTTGTGAAATATTAGAAAGCACTCAATATATGATCTTTAAAGCTTCATCTTATGCTCTTATTGCTGTTGTTTTAATCTAAAATATTACACTTTGAGAATGAAGCCATCATTAATGATTTATAAATTGGCTTTGTACAGAGTACTTTTGCTGTTAATGAAATGAATAAATTATCTGCTTTAGTCAGAGCTAGGCATAATAGAAAAATCAGAAATAGGTATTCTCTTCTCCAAAATAGAGAAGAGGCCATTTTGAAGTTTAAGGTAAAAAGAATCAGTAGAGAATGTAATTGAAGAAGCTACATCTGCTAAGAGTCAGGTAGGACTAGATCCCTGAGGAGGGAAGAGATTGGTTTGGAAAAGGAAGACAATTTGGTAAGATTAGGTCCTTGA